GAGCGGCCACAGAACCCCTGACTGTTGGAACTGACTGGCTATCCAATCCTCAAAATGTCATTCTTACAGTAGTTTGTTTCCAGACTACTGGAAACCTTGGGGTTTCTTTCTTTCAACAGTGAAAAGAGCCTCAGAAAGGGTCTCAGTTGCTTTCCCAGGCCCCTGTGGCTGGTTATACATCCCATCTGCCAACACCCTCACCCCGCTCACCTCCAATCCCTGGCTTCTTTTAAGGGGCAGATCCCTTATTTAGAAGAGAGAAAGGACGTGTATAGAGCCCATTCAGTAGAGTGCTGAGTGTTCCTTTAGGACATAGTGCAGGTCCTGAGGGCTCGGGATCCAGGAAGGAGTGGGCTTGGATTGGATGGGAGAAGAAATAAAGGGAGAGGCCGGGAGTGTGGTGGCAAGCCTGTCACCCCCACAAGACTTGTGTCCAGGTGGCCTGAAGGTGCCTGGTCACTGGGAAAGGTGGCTGCAAAGATGAAGGTAGGAGGAGTAGGGTGGTCCTCAAGGCCATGAGGGTGAAGGGACAGACTGTCCCCTTACTGGACTGGCAGCCCTGGAAGCCCATTCCCCTGCCTTTCCTGGATGACTAATTCCTTATGACTTCTGGGTGTCGCTGAAAATGAAGGAGGCAAGAGAAGTTAACCTTGTCCTTTCACTCAGAGGTAGTCGGTCAGTACTTTGACATAGTTCCTCTTTTTACATTGAGATCATACTCTATGTCCTATTTAGTATCTAGTATTTTCATTTTCACAGTATAATAGCATCTTTCAAATAAAGCTTTGTGAAACATCATTTTTAATGGCTTGAGTAGCATGGTTTGAGTTAAAATGTGGCCTCCAAATTGCTTAGATCGCCTCTCTCCCCACAGCAGCTAGGAGTGGGGAATGGGGTGATCAGGGGCATCTTCACAAGCTCTCCAGTGGTAGCAGGTGAGAGGCCATGCTCAGAGAGGACAGGCAGGCCTGGAATGGAGAGGCGGCCTTGGTTGTGGGGAGAATGTGAGGAAGATGGAGGGTGATAGGAAAAGGATGAAAAAGCTTGATGGTCCCAAGCTGCGGGCCTAGGCTTTAGAGCCCTGGTTCTCAACTGAGGGCAATTTTGTTCCCCAGGTGACATTTTTGGTTGTTACAAGTGGGGGAAGAGGAGTGGTTCTGTTGGTGTCTAGTGGTAAGAGGCCAGAGACGCTGCTAAATGTTCTACAGTGCACAAAACAGCCCCCACAATGGAGACTTACCCTGCCCAAATGCCAGCGTTGGGAAGCCCTCTTAAAGTGTTGGGTGCGGGAAAGGAATGGGGAAGGGGAAGGGCCCCAATTCACCTGAGGCTGCTCTGGATTGAACCATTTCTCCCCGAGACCTAGCTCTGCCCTGCCTCTGCCAGGGCATCTTTTCCCAGGTAGATGAGGCTCTGCAAGGCTTGTCTTCCCTGGGGGCCCAAGGCCATCCCTGTCAACAAGTCCTCTTTCCAGATTCACTTAATTTCCACAGGACAAGCGTGACTCCCCTTTTCCACAGCAGAGAGTTGAAGCAGGTGGCTGTGTGGGAAGCTGTTCTCGGTCACGTCTGCTGGCAGCCTGACGTTAGTTGGGTCTGTACCAGGCGGTGGGAATCCAGTGATCTCAGGCTGCATGGTTGCAGTGTGCAGACATGAGGGACAATCAGGGAGTGGGAGGAGGGCAGAGGTCATTGGTCCCCAAGAGAATCAGGGTTTTGCACGACTTACCACCAAGACCCAGGCAGCTCGCGTTGCAGTGAGGGCAGGACAGGCCGTGCTGGTGCAGGGCGGTGTGCTGGAGGGTGGCATCTTGTCTGAGTCCAGTGAGGCATCTTACCAGTGTTGGTCCTTGGAAGCCTCACGTGTTCTCCCTGCAGCTGCTCGACAGTCTCCTGTGCAGACTCAGTCCTTCAGCCTCGTAAGTGGTGGTGTGTGCACCACCACAAGGCTAGGTGGAATTCCTAACCTTGTTCACTACCAAAATAGTGTGTGGGGAGGGGTGCACATTCCTGGAGTGAAGCCCATAGGTACATCAAGAAGCCTGTGTCCCCAAAGCAGGTGATCAGGTGCGCCACACGCTCTCCTTGACTCCAGCACAGCCTAGAGCTGGTGCTGCACCACCATTCAAGCTCAGTGCTGCGGAGCTGGATCTTTGGTCTTTTTTTTTTTTTTTTTTTGAGACAGAGTCTCACTTTGTTGCCCAGGCTAGAGTGAGTGCTGTGGCGTCAGCCTAGCTCACAGCAACCTCAAACTCCTGGGCTCAAGCAATCCTCCTGCCTCAGCCTCCCAAGTAGCTGGGACTACAGGCATGTGCCACCATGCCTGGCTAATTTTTTTCATATGTATTAGTTGGCCAATTAATTTCTTTCTATTTATAGTAGAGACGGGGTCTCGCTCTTGCTCAGGCTGGTTTCGAACTCCTCATCTCGAGCAATCCGCCCACCTCGGCCTCCCAGAGTGCTAGGATTACAGGCGTGAGCCACCGCGCCCGGCCTGGATGTCTTCTTGTACCCAGCCTGTCCTGCCTGCAGTCCACATGTTTGAGGAGAGAGGCCGTTGCATGCCATCACCTAGCCAGATCCCCAGCTGTTACAGGCTCTATTTCCTCCTCCCCATTGCCCTCCTTGGGGTCTGTATCTCTTGCTCATGTTTTTTTTTTTTTTTTGAGACAGAGTCTCACTTTGTTGCCCAGGCTAGAGTGAGTGCCGTGGCGTCAGCCTGGCTTACAGCAACCTCAATCTCCTGGGCTCAGCGATCCTACTGCCTCAGCCTCCCAAGTAGCTGGGACTACAGGCATGCGCCACCATGCCCGGCTAATTTTTTGTATATATATTTTTAGTTGGTCAATTAATTTCTTTCTATTTTTGGTAGAGACAGGGTCTCGCTCAGGCTGGTTTTGAACTCCTGACCTTGAGCGATCCGCCCGCCTCGGCCTCCCAAAGTGCTAGGATTACAGGCGTGAGCCACCGCGCCCCGGCCTGCTCATGTTTTTTATAACAGGTCTAGTGCCTGGTGCTCCTGCACCCCACCCTAAGGGCCAAATTGCAAAGGTGATTGCTTCACTCCAACTTATAAACTCCAGCAGATCATGCTCACGTTGAGGGAGTCCAATCAGTAGATGCTTCCTGTCCCTTTTGGAAAGAAATGAGATATAAATAAAAAGGGAGCTAGGTAAGGAAATGGGGATGGTGAGGACAAGGATCCCTGCTTCTCAGATGAGGCATAGGGAGCAGCCTCCCCAGCCCCTGGTGGGAGTGCTGTGGATGTCCTTGTTGGGGCATGGGAGGAGCTACATGGGTCAGGCTCTGGGCCTGGTCTCCTTGGAGAGGGGGAAATAAAAAGTGTCGATTATGTAAACTCAGACTTGGGGATCACCAATACCCTGCATCCACAGATCTGCAATCGCCTTGTGTCCGTGGGCCTGGGTTAGACTCCCAAGGCTGGGCCTGGCCAAAGCCAGCAAGGTTGGGAAGCTGCCCTTGGAGCTAAGGTCCGTTTTCGTTTTCTCTGCTTAAACCTTGACCCTTGTGTGGGCAGCATCAGCATCGTCTCTCTCCCAGGCTGCCCATCCCTTGCCAGTCTGCAGCACAGTCTTGCGCTAGTGCATGAGCTCTCGCTGTCCCACAGCCACTGGTGACTTGACATGCACCTTTCCAACTTCTCTAGAGCCAGTTTAGGTGCCACCCTGCCCCTCTCTCCAGGACAGCTTCCTTGACTATGTGGCCTCCCCCAGCTTGCCCTTTTGGGAAGTTATGTCATATTTACAGCTGGCATCGTGCTGTCTTGCACAAAATGATCAATGCTGTGCTGCTGATCTCTGACCAGTTGATGCCAGAGCAAAACAGCTAGTTTTGCCAGCAGTGGCTGGGGGAGGAATGGCATGGGAACTGGCGAGACCACTTACCTGGCCTTCCCTGTCCCGTCCTTCCTTTAACCTCAGTTTCCTCATCTAGGACTAAAGGCCTTACAGCTCCAACCAGGGGGCACAAGTTGGCCCACATTATCTGGAAACAGTTTTGAATTCATTGCTAATGTTAGAAACAACTGAGATGTTTTTGAGTGAATAGTACAAAGTACAGCCTGCTCTCATTTGTGTTTGCACGTGCATGGGCTATCCCAGGGAGGAAACAAATTGGTGATGGTGGTTACTTCCTGTCTGTTCAAAAATAAAGCCGGGCCAATCCCAGCAGCTTGGGAGGCTGAGGGGAGGATGACTTAAGCCCAGGAGTTTGTGATCAACCTGGACAACATAGCAAGACCACATCTCAAAAAGTAATAATAAATAAATTTAACTTTTTAAAAGCAAAATACCTTGGGAGGCCGAGGCGGGCGGATTGCTCAAGGTCAGGAGTTCAAAACCAGCCTGAGCAAGAGCGAGACCCCGTCTCTACTATAAATAGAAAGAAATCAATTGGCCAACTGATATATATATATAAAAAATTAGCCGGGCATGGTGGCGCATGCCTGTAGTCCCAGCTACCAGGGAGGCTGAGGCAGAAGGATCGCTCGAGCCCAGGAGTTTGAGGTTGCTGTGAGCTAGGCTGACGCCACGGCACTCACTCTAGCCTGGGCAACAAAGCGAGACTCTGTCTCAAAAAAAAAAATAAAAAAAAAAAAAAAAGCAAAATACCTCAAAATTAATAAGAAGGCTAGATCATGGGTGATTACTGAAAAATAATGGCATTTTACCCCCAGTCGAGATTTGACAAATGAAAAGAACTGGTAACATTGGGCTGGAATCCCATCCAGCATGGCCCTAACCAGCCAGGGTTAGCCTGGACCACTCCCCTTGGGTTGGGGTCTGCGCCTTCTCCCTGTCACTCGTGGGCTTTGTGGCCTGTGTCTCAGACCTTGGTCTTCCGGTCTTGCCTGGCCCTAGAGATTGTTGGCTCTGGTAGTAAAGGCAGGGTCAGACTTCATGCCATCACCCGCTGCACAGGACACAGGAAGTGCTTGGGGGAGGCCTGCCTGCTTGACTGTTTTTAATTGTCTCTCCTTAGGGACTTGTTGGCCTCGAGCAGGGTATCAGAAACAGGCCTCCCAGCACTGGCCGCAGGAGAGTTGAAGGTGTCTGTTTTGGGGAGAGCAGCTGGCTGACCCCCAGTGCCACTGACGTCCCTGTGACAGCACTGCCAGGATCCAGGCCATCTGAACAGACATCTGTCTCATGGAGCCTCCGGGGGAGAAGCCAGGAGAGGCAGGCAGGCTGTGCATCACCCCCCAGCTGCTGAAGTCACGTACGGGCGAGTTCGACCTGGAGTCCATCCTGCTGCTGAAGCTGCGAGGGTTAGGGCTGGCTGACCTAGGCTGCCTGGGAGAGTGCCTGGGCCTTGAGTGGCTGGACCTGTCGGGCAACGAGCTCACCCAGCTGGGCCCGCTGGCCTCCTTGCACCAGCTGGCTGTGCTCAACGTCTCCAACAATCGGCTGACGGGGCTGGAGCCACTGGCAGCCTGTGAGAACCTGCAGAGTCTCAATGCTGCCGGCAATCTGCTTGCCACTCCCAGCCAGCTGCAGTGTCTAGCCGGGCTGCAGGGACTTGAGCACCTGCGGCTCCGAGACCCTCTGGCCAGGCTCAGCAACCCGCTCTGCACTAGCCCTTCCTACTGGGCTGCGGTCCGGGAGCTGCTGCCTGGCCTGAAAGTCATCGACGGTGAGCGTGTGACCGGGCGCGGCAGTGAGCTCTACCAGCTGTGCCGAGAACTGGACAGCTCCTTGCGCCCCAGCTCCAGCCCTGGCCCCAGAGCCACTGAGGCCAAGCCCTGGGTGGAGCCAGGGTACTGGGAGTCTTGGCCCACCCCGAGCAGCTCCATCCTGGAGGAGGCCTGCCGGCAGTTCCAGGACACCCTGCAGGAGTGCCGGGACCTGGACCGCCAGGCCAGCGACAGCCTGGCCCAGGCTAAGCAGGCACTTAGCCCCGTGGGCACCACCTCTTCCTTTGTCTTTTGAATGTGTCCCATGGCCCAGTACAGCCTGGCAGGTGGCCTCGCTGCCTGCATCTTCCCTCCTTGCCTTTGAACTTGTCTTCAGTGTTTCCCCACGATGGTCACTGGCCCAGCACACTGGGCTATTCATTTATCCATGTCCTGAGAGCAGCCCCTCCCCCTCTCCCCTCAGGGACATTTCCCCACCCTCCCTCCACATACTGCAAGGACACACCCCCAAGTGACCTCTAGCAGTGTAAGGGCCCACAGCCCACTGAGCTGTTGTGTCCACAGCTGCTGCCACCCCTGCTGCTCCAGCCTGAGACTTGGTGGAGGAGTTACTTCCTCCTAAGGCTACAGGTGAGAAAGGTGGGATGGACCAGCCTCCTGTCCCAGCAACCTGGGATAGTATGGGCAGGGCTCAGTGGCCAGAACATTCCTTATCACCCGCCTTCCAGATTGGCCTGTCCAGATGACCCATCCTGTGCTGTCCTGGAGCCCTCTCTGCCTGTGCTCACCCAGGCCTCTTTATTAAACAGCTCTGCTTTCATTTGCATCACTGACACCTCTGGTCTCTCGCACAAGAGGCTCTGCTCACCGTGCCCACGGCCGAGGGCGCCCCGCACCCTGCCTTCCCTCAAGCAGATAGCCGCCTCTGGGTTGAGCTGCGGAGGAAGCAGGCAGTGTGAGAAGCCAAAAGAACACAGCTGGGAGGGCAGTTTTATTAGCTTGGGATATAATGGGATCCTCTCCCTGGAAGGGTGGGTCTTTTGATGGTTACTGCCTGCAGCGGTCCAGGAATCGGGATGAAAATTCTAGAGGAAAGGGAAAAACAGATTTGGGTGTGAAGGAGGCTGTTTTGGTCCCAGTCCCAGCTTTCTTCCCAGGCTCCTAATCTGTCCCCTCCTTGGCTTCCATAGCCCAACACCAGCCCAATGGCCATTCCAAGGGCTGTCCCTGTCCAGGGTTTGTGCTCCATACCCCCTGGCCACCTACTCGTCCAGGGCTCAGCTGCGGGGCAGGTCCTTGAGGAAGGCAAACTGTCCAGGGAAGTAGTAGCTGTGGGGGTCCTCGCCGGCCCTCTCCACCCTGTGGCACTGGGCTTCCTGGTGCTCCTCGGGCTCCTGCCAACGCCAGCAGCTGTTCAGTGCCCGGAGCGAGGGGTGGGCAACAACCACCTCCATATCCCCCAGGGAATGTCTGTACCAGGCACAGTGCCCCTTCTCACCTTCCCGTCCTCTCCCCACCTCCCGTCTCTCCACCCTCCACCCAGGCGCCTGTCTCCCGACCTCTCTCACGGGCCCATCTTCCACCCACCTTTCCAGCTTCTGCCCATCCCCTCTGTGTCTTTGCCCCTTCTTACCCGTTGAACCTGAGTTTGTATGGGGCAGTGGACCATCCGGCCCAGAACTTTATCCTCAGAGTCCAGTTTGATGCAGGCCAGGCATTTCCGCTTCCTCTGGGGACAGGAGCATGGGGCCGGGGAAGGAAGGGCACGAGTGAGGCATGGGCAGCAACAAGGGTGCAGCCCGGGGCTGCCTGAGATGGGGACCGGCTCCCAGGAAGGCCTCTAGCCCTGGGCAAGGGGTTGTGCATGCCAGGTGGTGGCAGGCACAGCCCCCAGGACTTGGAAATCTCAAACAGTCCTGCAGTTTCAAACTGCAAGACTTCAGTGTTTGTGTAAGCAGGGATCCTTCCCAGATTGGGCAGAGGAGGGCAGCACATAGGTGAACAAGCTTGTGTGTGATGTGTGAGGAGCGTGGGTGTGTGGGTGTCTGCATGCATGTGCATACAAGAATGTGTGAAAGTAGGAATCCTCCCCACATGGGTTCTTCCCACCTAACTTCCACCAGAACCACTCCACTGTCATTTATTTACATTTTCTTGTAAGATTTCATTTGAATGAAAGGGTCCGAGAACAAGGGGTTTGAAGGTCAGTGCTGTATGCCAGGGCCCTCCTTTAGCAGATGGAGGGGACCAGGCCTTCGCAGAACCTCTGAAGCCCAGGACAGTGCCCACAGTGGGAGCCACAACCCAGGTCACTGCACTCCCAGTCCGGGCATCGCCCCCATAGCAGCGGTTTGCCCCAGGGTGGCTGACTAGAGTGCAGCCCTGCCATGAATCAGCCCACTCAGGCGCCTGGGGTGGGCGCCAGACACACCCCACACCCCACATGGTTCTTCCACCATAACCTGAAGCCTGAGGCAGCTCAGACTGGTGAGCCCTGCCCTGAGGAAGGTAAGCCCTGAGTAACCCAGCCTCCGTCTCCCTGTCTCCGAGGCCCCCAGCCCACTGCCCACCCTCACAGCTGCAGGCTCAGGCTGAGCCCTTCTGGGTCTATAGGGGCTCCCCTACACCCAACACGTGCCCCCTCACTCACACGGCCCTTCACTCACCCCATTGGGCTTGACTTTGCACTCAGGTTTCTTCCAGTCCTTCTTCCGACAGCTTGTCTGCTGGAGCCTAAATTCCAGCCTCACAAATGTCCCAGCTGGGAAGCGCTGTGGACAGACAGGCAGACCCCCAGCAGCCACTGAGCAGGCAAAGCAATTCCTGGCTGTGACCCTCCCCCCACCACGGTGAAACAGCACCCCAAGGAGGTGGCTGGAGTGGGGCCCAAGCACCTCTCTGTTCCCGCTTCCTGGGATTGTGCTGGCCTCCCGCGGTGCAGCCCTCCCGCTTCCCGCGGGGCCATGCCACTAACCATGTCCGTGGCACTGTCCACGCCGGTCTCCTGGAAGGCCCATTGCACGGGCGGGTGCTTGTGGAACTCCTCCAGGGCCACCTGCAGGCCCCGCCGCTGCGTCCCCGTGAGCTCGGCCCCGCCCGCGCCCACAGCGCCCAGCCACAGCGCCAGCGGGATCAGCAGCCGCCGCATGGCTTCAGCTCTGCCACCCGGCCCTGCAAAGGGGGTGTGTGCGTCCTCACCTCGCTGTGCCATTCGGGGCCGCCGCCTCCCCTGCCCTGCCCTGTCCCTGGGGGGCATGCCCGGCAGAACGCTGGGCAGAGGTAGAGGGACGGGGAAATGCCCCTTTTCCAGATAGCCCTTGGTGTGCGCCCGGTCGTCCCCACTCCCTCCCGCCCTGCCCGCACTGTTCCCTGGAGCCAGCAAAGTTGTAACAAAGTTCCCCGCCAGCGCCCATCTCCGCGCCTCTCGGACCCAGTCTCTCTCCCCGCTGGTCTCCGAGCCCCTCTGCTCCCGAGTGCGGACCCGGCCGGTCCCGCGGGTCGCGTCCGGCACCACCGCTCGCCCCGGCCCACGTGCGCAGCGGGGGAGGGGAGGGCCGCGGCGCGGAGACCGGACCCGCTGGAGGCCGAATATTTTTGGGAGGACGTAAACACCCGGGAGGGGCCCTGAGCGGCTGCGAACTGCAGGGCGCTTAACCCTACTCGCGCCAGAGCTGCCCGTTGCCATCAGCCCTACTCCCGTTTCCAGAAATGGGGTCTCGCCCCCGCCCGACCCTCGGCTAGGCTAGCCCCTTCAGGCAAGATCCTCACTCCCTGCCCTTTTTTCTGGGGCCTTCCCCATTACCCCTCTTTCAGCCCTTGTGATCCGTCCCCTAATCCATGATGGGGGTCACCTGAGGGGATGACCCCCCCCCCCAGAGAACCCTGCCTGCACTGGTGGTCTTGGGACCAGGAAGCCACAGATGTGGAAACTGAGGCTCTCAGGGAAGAGACACCAGGGCAATTGCCTTAACCCAGGGCTTTGCACATTCCGCCCCTGGAACTGCTCCCTCCGCCCGCCCACCATCCCCAGCCCGCTCGTCCCTCCTCACCTCCTTCCCTGCGTCTTGGGGTCGCCCCTAACTGTCCGGCGGCTGAAATCCTGGCCCCGGCGGCCGCCTCTTCCCGCTCTTCCCCGCCCCGACGCCCAGAGGCCGCCCCCCTCTCCTCCCGCCCCCACCTCGGCCCCTCCAGCCAGTCCGCTGCCCCCGCGCGCTGGGACCGGCCTCCAGGGCCAGTGCCCTCCCCGCGCCTCCCAGCCCAGCCCACCCACCTCGCCCCACCCCGCCCGCGCCGCGACCCTGACCCCGCCGCGGGACGGGCGGCTCGCTGGGCTGTGCTGGGCCACCTCCCGCAGGCTGAGGAGCAGAAGCCTGGCGTTCTCGGGGAGCGCCCGGGGCCCCTTCTCCGCGGGACGTGGGACTGCTGCGCTCCCCAAGGGCCTTCTGCCCTTTCTTGGGTCCTTCCCTGGTGACCAGTCCCCAGCGTCCCTGAGACACTCATTTCAGGAAATTCTCAGAAATACAGACACCCGCAAACCAAAGGGGACTTTGAGGAGTCCTTGGTCCCTCTCCCTGCCTCCCGCACCCTAAAAGCCACACTGGAAAGGAAGGTTTCATTGTTAGGAACCACTCTGGTGTCTGACGACCGTTGTCGCCAACAAAGACGTCCAGTCTGGATCACACATGCTGCTTTTCGTGACCTTTTCCTCATGCCCACCCCTGATGGGGGCAGACTCCGGGTCTCATGTGGGGTGCTGGGCGCACTGGTGTCCTGCACTGTGCGAGCGACATAGGGTCCAATATCGGCTCAGCTCCTGGCTGTGAACAAGCTCTGGGGCCCGCACGTCGGTAAGCACTACCGCTGTTTGTCTAGTTCTGAGCCTACGCTAACCACCCGAAATAGAGGATCTCGCTTGACTCCCAAAATCTCTCTCTGAACCTCAGTTCTTTATTTGTAAAATGGGGACCACAAACTCCATCTTGAGTTGTTTTGAGGATTAAAGGAGGAAACATATGGAAAGCGACTGGAGCCCAGTGTCAGACACAAAAGTTCTCATCCCCTCCCTGTGCACCCTCTGCCAGGACACTCCGCACGGAGCCAGAGCTTCCTTTACTGTGTGCTCGGAGACACCAGAAAGGGCTATGAGCCAGTTACTGGTGCCTGAAATCCCACTGGCGTTTCATCCCCAGCTGTGAGTTACGCAACTATCACTAAGCGCTGAGAGATGGGGTCTTTGTTTTGCAAGAGCTTTAGATGGGGCAGAGAGACGACATGCACACACAGGTGTTTCCCAGCCTGAGGCCCTGAAGGAAACCAAAATATTTCACCCCAAAATATACTTCTGTGACACGTTTCAGGATGGCTATTGAGAAGGGCTGGGAATGCAAGCGGAGCGGAAACGCTGTCTTTTGTGGGGAGATGTGCGCTGTGATCAGCCGGGCTTCCTCTGACGCCCCCTCTAGTCTGGGCCTGGGAAAGATGAGCTGTGAGTCTGACACCCTTCAAGGTCTGAGAGAAACATTTTCCTTTCATTCTCTCTGAGGGCTGCCACCTGTGAGGTTCATTTACGTAACAAGACCACCTTTGCTAGCCAGGCCTCCTCTTCCTCTTCCATAACCTATTTTGCCACTCTCATTTGCCCCGTTTGCCCCATTCTTTCTTTCTTCCTTTCTTTTTCTTTTTTTTGAGACAGAGTCTCACTCTGTTTCCCAGGCTAGAGTGCAGTGACGTCAGCCTAGCTCACAGCAACCTCAAACTCCTGGGTTCAAGAGACCCTTCTGCCTCAGCCTCCCGAGTAGCTGGGACTACAGGCGTGTGCCACCATGCCCGGCTA